ACATTATAACACCCCTACTGCTGAAAGGGCGAGCACGTTTGGTGGGACGGGGATTTGAACCCACAACCCTAAGATTGCGAGTCAAGCGCCCTAACCACCTAGCCATACCAGGTCTTCTTTGAAGAGAATAATGGGATTTACTGCGACTTTTATACAGCGCCTACAAATGAAATACAAAGCATGTTCTACAATTCTTCTTTTGATATAATTTCTAGTTTTATGTATCATTTTGGCTGATTTCAGTTAATTATATGATCAAGATTTCTCATGTGAAGAAAAATAGCATTATTTATTTGACTATTTTTAACATCCCTTTTATGTTCTGCGAGTCTTGTATCTAAATTTCTACACGTTTCATGCACATAAATCTGGTCACAAGAGACTATATAGATTCTTGTTTTTTAATTTAAGGTGTTCACGTGTTCGAGTGCAGGAAATTCTTTATGGTGTTGGGATATTTATAAACAACTTTGAATTTGTTGTGTTTGAGACATTTTTTCTAGAGACACAATATTAGAACAATAGTTGTTGCTGACTATTTTCTTCTTAGTTTCATATGTAGATGATGATGTTTGCTGGCTATTGTTCCTATAAAATGTCTTCCTTGCCATATTTGATAAAACCCATAGGATATTGTTGCCGTTTGAAGATTTTATACATGTTTTTGGTTTCTTCATCAAGGATCGTATGATGACATATTCTGAAGGCTGTTAGAAACATGGAAGTAATAATGGATGTTTTAACTGTTTTATGGTGACATGAAAAGAAGTGAATATAGCTTAAAGGGTTTGTTGATTTTCTATAGATTGAGTGGACAGGCCTTGTTATTTCTCTAGTTATGAGAATATCTAAAAATGGGAGTGGATTATTCATTTCTCATTCCACTTTAAAATTGACAGTACTGTGAATCTTATTTATCTTCTAGAAAAAGGCTTAAAAATCATTTATATTGGCCAAACCAAAAATATGTCATCGACGTATCGGAACTAAGGAATTCTCTTTGAATTCAAATCCGCTATAGGAAGTAACTCACTTTCAAAATGAAGTTGGGGATGAAGGGTTTCCTATAGCCCTTCCATATTTCTGTCTGGAATATTGTCCCATGCATGTAAATACATTGTCATCAACGCATACTTCCATAAGGAAGATGAAAGCGTGAACCGGCACAGGAATAGGAAGTTCAGGTAAGTTTCTTTTAAGGAAGTTTAACATTTGTAAACAAAGAATCAACGTCAAAACTGACCATTTTTCCTTCATTTATGTTACAGTATTTTTTTTCTTTATTGGCAAAATTTATATTATTTAGAATGTGTGACGAGGAGAACTTTCCTAGGGCAGGAGATAGTTGTTGTGCCAGGCATTTGGATAGCTGAAAAGTAACTGATCCTACATTGGAAATTATAAGTCTAAGAGGGCTGTCATCTTTGTGGGTTTTAGGTATTCCAGAGAAAGATTGATCCGTTTAAAGATTTTTTAAAATATCAACAACCAAATAAACATTTTCCGAGAGATTTGTTGGGTAATGGATTATTCCTGAGTTTTTCGTAAGTGTTTTCATCCTGCAATAAATTGCTTAGTTTTTCATTGTAAGTAGATTTATCCATGGTGACAATTGGGTTTGGTTTGTCAGATTTAGTTACCACAATATCCTTATTACTTTTTAATTTTCTTGATGCTTCTTTGAAGACAATGATGAATCACAAAGCCATCATTACTATTGTGAAAAAGTAAAGTGATTAGGCATCAAGTTAAAAAGCTCAAACCATCATTATTGTCCTTGGCTGATTTAACAACATCTGATATCAAATCAAGGTCATGATCAGCATTTTGGAAAGAAAATGGGAGACCATAGCCTAACGTTATTTCTTCTATATCTGTAAAACTGTAAGAAGTCAGACTTACGATATTCTTAACTGTTTTGGAAGCTTTATACCTTTATACTTGTTTAAAACAGTTTATCAAACTTGGTTTGTAGTCTTACCTCTACGTACTTTAATTTTCTTGCAACAATAGTCTGCTATCTTGAATAACTGTTTTCTTTGAGACACAGAAGTATGTACTTTAAGTTTGCGTGTAGCTTGTCGGCAGTTGTAAAATGCTTCATACTTGCTTTTCTCATGTCAAAACAAATTTTGTTTTGACTGAAATGGTTTGTAGCTCATAATTTATTTTTAACTCTTGAATATATAGTCAATGCTATTGTGACGTTTATCAGACATTAAAAGTGATGAAAGTTGCGTTGGCTTTACTTTTATGAGTATTTATGGACTCCAAACTTTTATGATGACAACGTATATAAATTTACAGCTTAAGTCAATACCTGGGCCGGGCGTGGCCTAATAATTATTGCGTTTGGACTGAGAATCCGATGGTTAGTGCACTATAAGTGTTACAGTCAAATCCCACTACGTATTCATATTAAAGTAGCCCAAGGGTTGGCAGAGAGTGTTGTTGACCATCTGCCTTCTATCTGTATGCAGACAGCTCTTCTGCAGCTCTGTGGGGTACTCTAAATCAAAGAAACAACTCAATTTTATGAAGCTACTAAAATTTCTTACTATCTTTTTCAAATGACGGAGTCATTATTAAAGTCAGGATTTTGAAAATATATAAATTCTTAAAACTTGCCCAATGACTTATGAAATATTTCCGAAGCAAAAAAGTAAGTAAAAACAATAACAATATGGTTATATGTGAGTTCTAGAATAGTGACATTAAAAATAAGATGTACAAAAAATTATAATTCAGGAATAAAGGACAGATGTAGTTTTAATGGTAAATTAAACTGTTATTATTGTAATACTAGAAGTCTACGAAATAAAATAGATATTAGAGCACCAGTTGGAACAAGGGATTTTGATGTGAGAGAATAACAGAAACCTGGTTAAAAGAGTTTATTTTTTATGACAGAAATTTTTTTTTGACATACAGGGTTGTAGATTATCTAATAGGGAAGAAATATCTCGATTTGTAAAATATGAGCTACATTCTGTTCAAGTTGAGGATATCCAAACTAACAATGACATTGAACGTATTTGGATTTCTGTTATCGGTTATAAGCTTTTAGTTGGAATTTGTTACAGGCCACCACGTCAACCTCATAAAATTAATGAGAAATTCTGAAGTGACATAAAGAATTCAGCTGTTATATAAGACATGTTTATAAGGAATTTTAATTTCAGGCATATAGATTGGGAAAAATTAAAGTTTGATAATGAGAGATACAGGTTTTTAGAAAATGTTAAGGTAATCTACTGAGAACAACGCTATTTTAGATTTATTATTAACTTCTAATGTAGAAATGATTAATAGAGTGGAGATTGTGGAACATCTAGGTGAAAGTGATCATTACTCACTTAGGTTTGATGTTTTGATGTACACGTATGTGGAGATAAGGAATAATGGCATTTTACTTCCAAATTAAAAACAAAAGCAAATTTTAAAGGATGAGACAAAAATTTGCTGTTGCGAGTTGGACAACTGAATTAATTGGAGATACTGACTAAATGTGAAAACATTTTTAAAATAAATTTTGAAATAATCATAAAAGGCATGATGCCTATAGAAAAAAGTGTGGTTGCAAGTCAAACCCAGGATGGTTCACAGAGGGTATAAAGGATAAGTTTCAAGAAAGGCACTATATATATAAAAGGAGTTTACATTGACTGTTATGATGGGAGATTTATAGAATTATAAAAGAGTGAAGAGAGTTGACCAAACTGAAAATTAGGAAATCGAAATACAAATACAGTCTTGGCCAAAATGTTTGCATATTTTGTAACAAATAAGATCATTATTATTAAGATGGAATACAAATACATTTCGCACTGTCGAACTGAGAAATGCGTGTTATATTAAATATATACATTGTAATTTATATAATGAGATAAGTTCTATGGACATTATGAAGTATTTATTAGAACAGCAAACAATTTTATCAGACACCTGTAGAAAGATGTGTAATTTAGCATTTCAATTATCACATCAAAACATATATAACGACAAAATATAACATCAAATTATTATAAATAGCGTTTGTAACATTATATCAGTTCATATTAAACATTCAGTACTTGGTTAGTCCTCCTCGTACTCTAATAACCACCGCAAGGCGACGTGGCATGCTGTCGATGATGTATGTTATTGATCTAATCCGCTGTGATTTCATCCCAAGTTGTCACTAAAAGCCGCTGCAACTCAGCAACAATAGCTCGTATAGGGTCGTGGTTAGCAATTTTCCGGCTTAGTTCTACCCAATAATTCTCAATGGAATTACAATCTGGAAACTTTGCTAGCCAGGAAAATCTTGTAACGTCCACCTGGTCGAGATAATCCTGTACACCATGCACATTGTGGGCAGTGACATTGTCATCCTGCAACACTACGTTTTGCCCAACCTTACTTTCATTGTACAGGTCATGGATTAGGCCATATTTGGAGTGTTGTGTCCATTCTTTGGGCTCCTTACCTTAAGCAAAATATTGAAGTTATGAAAAGGGTTCAGAAGAGGGCTACTAGGATGATACCTGGGATAGAAAGGTTGCAATTTGAAGACTGGTTAAAAGCTGTGAAATTGTTTTCTCTTGAAAAAAAAGAAGAGTTAGATAGGATCTGATTGAGATGTTAAAGATTGTTAAGGGAATTAATAGCGTTGATGCATCATCTTTTTATATTTAATGGTAGGAATGGTAGAAATAGGAGACACAAAATACATGTTGGCAGGTAATCTACAAATAATATAGCTTTATTTTTCTCATAGGAATGGGTTTTCTTCAGATGTGATGGATGCAGCCAACTTAAAGAGATTTAAAAGTATGACTTGATAAATATTTGAAATATAAGGGCTGGCACTGAGTATGTTATTTTAACTTCAAAGCTTAGTGGATGATATGGCCTAGATGGACTAACAGGTCCATTGATGTCCTTAGATTATATATGTATATGCATGTATAAGTCGTGTTTGACTTACATAATAGTTAAAGAAATTTCAAATCGTGATCATGGAAGGGTACTTTCTGAGGCTGTGCAGAATGTACAGTGGAAAGGAGAAAAATGCAGTTGAAGGGGAACGTGGGCAAGAGCTTCCAGAGGGCCTCACTCGAGTGCTTTCAGTATTTCAGCTACGTAGTGGTGGAGGTGCTGGCAGTAGCAACTTTCTTGGTCCACAATTTACAATGGTGGTGAAGTGAAGGAGATTAACTCATCAGTGTTTGAAAGGACAACAAAAAAAAATCATCTGGAATGTTTTCTAATGTGCTTTAGACATGTTTCCTACTAAAATGGTTGGACTTAGATTCAGGCAGTGCAATCAATATCTGATGCTGAGGTTGATTGGATCATTGTTACATGTTCCAGAGTACTTGGGTGAGAAAAAACATGATGAGTGAGGCATGGTTTTTACTGATGATAGATCTCAAAGCTAAAAGGTGTGGGTTCCATGAAGATTTTGGCACAAGTTCAATGAAGATTGTACGTGTAATAATTCTTGTAAAATCATCTGCTGATACTGATGAGATTTTACAGAGATACTGCTCAATCAAAGCACTTTTGACATGTCCACTATTGTACATGATGTAGGGTGTTGTAATGCAGCCACTATACTGCCCTGTGGGACAATTAGTTATAATTGCAATGGCAACACATCTGCAGCAAGAGTGGCTCTCAAGAAGATACCTAGAACACGATGAATGGAGTCCCTGTTTTAACTGTAGCTTATCAGATCAATGGCTAGAAGATTGTCTGTGTCATGTTGTAAGATGCAGAAGTGCTAATGACACAGTATGGACACAACTTCTCTGGTTAGTTCAGATTAGTAGAATTAAGTTTATTTTAACCAGTAGCTTGGGCACGTATGGCAGGAAGCTTGCACTCAAAGCTATAATGCTTGGTTTAAACAACCATGTATGTTTGGCACACGGCATATGCCTATAATGATACAGTACACGGATATCAGGTTGGGTTTCCAGTGAACATTGAAGAAACTGGGATCTTAACCCTGATAAGAGTCGAAGAGTCTTAACAAAGCCAGCTGACACAAACTTCAGTCTAGCAAAGAGTGACGAACTAAATATGACTAGATAGGTGTGTCTCCAGCTACGTCTTAGCACTGTCAATCTTAGTTTGGGTATTGGCATCTGAGGAGTTTTCTGCTGAAGATGTTAGGCATTTTCACTTATGGAACAGTTATTCTGTAGTTCTGCAGAAAACAACTACCTACTATCAATCAGGTAGAGCCTGGGATTAGTATGCTTAATATCTACACGGGCAATAAAACAAAAAGATAGAGGCTACTCTGGAACACCAAGATTTTGCGAAATCCGAAATCAAGCAGAAATAATGGAGAAAATAGTAAAATCTTCAGAAAGTGATCTGGCACTTTCAATTTTTAGTGTAAATGGATAAATGCATAGTCGTGTTTTTGAAGGCATCTTTTTGTTCAATAAGCTACGTTTGACTTTTGGCTACTGGCAAGGTTTAGCTGTATAATAAACGTAAACACATCATTGCCTTTAGCTTTCGAAAATGAATCTATTATACTGTCAATTAATACACTTTCAAGAGGATGATGGAGCTTACACATGAATAAATATAAAGGTAGATATGTCTTATCTATGAGAATGAGGTTTTATGTTTTGATTGAAAATTTCAGCCCTTCATTGAGAAACGAATAACTGTTTTTCAACAACACTTAAAAATGCAGGCTTAAAATTAAAATTGGGAAAGTTCCTTACTAGGTAAGTACGACTGTGCATTGGATAATGATACTGTGGATAATGATACTGCAGGAGTACACTTTGTTGCACAACACTACCCAAGATAGCAGCATGTATATCTTGCTAACCTATTAATACAATAGTTGATACAAAAGTTAGAAAATGTATGTCAGAAGAGATGTTACAAAAAACAGTAGTAGAAAGTAAACTTCAGTCTGTGACAATGTTTCGGTTGAATTAATCTACATATTATATGTCAAGGGAATTAGTAAATTATTAAATGTAGTGTCACTGTCTCTGATGAACCTCTTGAAACCTGGCTGATCAGGAAATTTAATGGTAGATAACTGGATTCAGATAATTAGATTACCGTGTTTATCAGCCTCACCTCATATGATCAGAGAAAATACTGAGGGTAGAAATCTGTCAGACCATGAGGAATCAAATGACAAAATACAAGTACATGAGCCATTTGACTATTCCGATGATCAATCAAGATGATCTTAATCTTCAGTTTATTATGGCTATGATTCAATTTTTGATCAGCAGTTATGATGATAAGTTGATGTAAACCTCAATGGCTGAAAGGAAGTAGCATTTCTTGCTTTTGAAGCTGTTAAGCAGCAATTCACAGCAGAATCATCGCAGTTTATTTAGTTACACAATTATGGAACATTTAAGGTTAATAACTGATTGATTTAAGATTTACATTAGATTGATAAATCACTGAGATATTGAGCAATGTACAATAGTGAGACAATCTATATAGTGAGAAATGGCAAAACTTCTACAGTGCAAGGCGCAAAAAACATGTCAGATAAATATAGTCAGGAGAGCTAATGTCCTCACAAAAGATCCTAAAACATTGAGGATCAGTTTTGACTGTTCATAATTACTAGAAACATTGATATACTAATAGGCTGAAGAATTCCAATTAAGTTTTTTGTTAATATTGTTGGCCGTTTGCTTGAAAGTAGCATCTGTAGAAAAAATGTTGGAAGACTAATTTACGAAGGTAAGTAGCTCATGTAGAAAGGCCAATGTTTTGGAAAACTTCCATTTTTCATCTTCAGATCAGCTTCCACTAGTTTTGCAGGGGTTTATATGGTACTTGTGGGGAGAATTGAAAGAAATGTGACGGGATTGGCTGGCGGTTCTTGTGACAAGTTTTGAGTGAAACGAGTGATGAGTTAACCACTGTTAGCCACAAAATGATGATTTCCAAGCCTAAGTCACTATTTCGCTATGGGTTCATCGTGTTGATGTAGAAAGGCTCTTTTATATTTCTTATTTTTCAGAATTTATGTGTGTTAGGTATTAGAATTTCAAATGGTCAGAAGCCGAGTTAACTGATAATTTAAATTTAGTAGTTAAATTGTACTTTGGATTTAGTATTTAAATATATGCCGATATTTTAGTCAATTTACGATATTTGCCAACAAGATTGATACACACCATCTTCGTTTTTAATACAAATATGTTTTAATATACACACATCAATACTATTTCCAATAACAGTTATTACAAATATTCATTACAAACAATGATTTATAAACAAACGTTTCACAAACTCACAAACAATACAAAGTCTTCTTTTTAGCCTGGAACTTCTTTGATATCTTATCGAGGGCTTACAATGAGCGAGTTAATTACAAGTTGATGTAAGTACGATTCGCCGGAAAGCTAGCTAGCTTTGTCTCCTTGCCTCACATGCTAGGTTTTCACCGTTGAAGTTAGGTAATGTTTTCGTAAAAATAGTAATGTCGGATGAGAATCTACTGAAGTTAGACGATTTGTCATGTTCGAAACTTATAAATATTCC